GCTTTGCTCTCCATCACTGTCTCTTAGGTTTGTTGCTATTTTGCTGAATTTCTGTAGAAACATGCTCCCTCATCTGGTAAGGTTGTCCTGATGAGAGGTTACACACCCTACTCTTGGCTATTCTCTCTTTCTAGCTATTCTGTGACTCCCAGGATTTAGTGCCTGTGTGAAAGTCCTCATTACCTACATGAAGACACAAGAAGTGCTCAGCTGCTGAAGTACCAATGCACAGGCTCCAGAAAATCCTGCTGGCAAAGCTCTATTTCCCAGCCCTACCAGTCCTATTTCATTCCTCTGAACTCAACTGTCTCAACAAAGTACGTGACATAATGAGCAGCATGTATTTCCCTGAGCAAGAATCAAATGCAGAAAAGAAACTATTTGCATATCAGAAATCCTGTTCTGTGGAAAATCTGTATGTGCCAGGAAAACAGAACATATGTGCTGAATGAATTTAGGCAAAGCTGCACCTTTGCTGTGCTGCTTATGAAAAATCACGTCTACTACACCAGTCTGTCACTGACATTGGCTTTTCATCAGCACTTCATCAAAATCAAACAAATATGAAAAACAAACAGCCAGAACAAGACGACAATACAGAATTCATGGTTCAACATGCTTCACCAGGATTTGGAAAAGGACCTTAACAAAGCTGAACCTGTTCTCAAGTAGCCAACAGACTCCTCTCTGAATATCCACACAAGTGCTGGCAGGACAGAGGACAGTAGGTGGCAACAGGCTACTTGAACAATGCACACCTCCACCATGTGGGGACAGGCAGCCCACATCAGCCTTTCTGTTCTGCTCACTCGTGGGAGATCCCTTGGGAGACGCCAGCCCCAGGAGCTGGCAGTGCTGGTGGCACAGCTCTCTGCAAAAGCCACTTCAAAAAGTAATGCAGAATTGTAGCAGGAGTGTACAGGAAGGAACAGAAGGAAAAGCAGAAGTCGGGTAAAATTCTGGATACTTCAAAACATCAAAGGTGTCAAAAGTTCATCCTGACTTCACCTCAAAGAAAAGCCCATCCCCTTTCTCTCCTGGAGTTGCCCAGCTGCCTCCCCAAATGGTAGGCAGTCAACATGTATTTTCTTTCAGTAGTTTCCTGCCTGGTGGTTTTAACTCCCTCGAAAGAGCTGTATGACAAATCCTTTTATGGCAACTGCAACACCAGTGGATATGACCTGTACCCAAATGAAGCACCTGTGTTCAAAATCAGTGTTTGAACCAAATAAAGGCAGAGTTAGGGATACTTCTGCTGCTTTGGAAGAGTGGGGCATTGGTCACTGGCAGAGGAGGAGGACTGCAAGTACAACACAATACAATGCTTCCAACATTAAGTCTACCTATGGTACTTTGGACATCATGTTCTCATTCCAAGACTCTTTGCTTATAGTCAGACATTTACTTGTTCAACTTAAACAGATTGAGGACACTGCTGGTCATGGGCTGCTTGACAGTCTTGGTCCTACTTTAATACTGTACTTCTAAGGTTCTTGATATTAGACACCTGGATAGTTGGACATTCCAATCCATGGCTGATACATTGCCAATGTGCAGTAACAAGCAGTATCATAAAATCATCAGGGTTGGAGGAGACCTCTAAGATCATCAAGTCCAACCATTAACCTGTCACTGCTGGAAACCCTAAACCCTAAACCATATCCACCAGTGTCAGATCCAGACACCTCTTAAACACTTCCAGGGATGGTGACTCCACCACCTCCCTGGGCAATATTCCAGTGCCTGACCACCCTAACAGGGAAAACATTTTTCTTAACATCTAGTCTGAATCTCCAAAATAACAGGGAAAACATTTTTCTTAACATCTTGTCTGAATCTCCAAAACACAATGTTTTTCAGCTTCCTGTTCTAGCACAGATTGCCACTGAGCTGGAGCTTTTTAAGGACATCCCCAAATACAGTTTTCAGGCAAACATCATGATAAATGTTGTACTGCATTTTCAACTCTGCTGGCACACACAAACTATTTCTGTATTGTTTTCAGATTTGTTTTTGAATGGTTTTAATAAACAGACACAAAAATAAAGAATCAAAAGTGAAACTCAGCTCACTCCATGTTTACCATTATCTGAGTATTGTACAGTTTATATGAATCTGCCTGTTCAGAGCAAAAGACATCACGTGGAAGCTGAGATTAAAAACACCCACAGTTTTTGCTATTAATCTCCCATTCAATTTCCTAGTGGAGTCATTCCAGTATCTACAAACACATAAAAATTTTGCATTGTGTACGATTAGACTTGCTAATCAAGCTGTATATTTATCCCAATGCATATTTACCAGCAATGATAAGGCTCTTTTGTAAGTTATGCCATTCTGTCATTGAGAAAACTGGAGAAGTTACTTCACCTCAGGTAGCATTTACTCCTGGATGGAGTAAATCTTCTGTTTCACAATTATCTGAGCACACAGTATGCCAACCTCCAGGCAACCCTCAAGAACCTGCTATTTCTCACTCTTCCCTGCCATCTCTGCCAATATAAGTGCAGAGGGAATATCTAATCCTGGGATACTGAACCGTGTACATTTTGATCACAAGTCACAGATATGTAGTATATCTCCTATGATCCTGCTGGGAATCCTGTCCTTCACACTATTCTCCTGACATGAACTGGCTTTTCCAGTTATGAGCTGAGAACATAGTACTCTTATCTTAGCAAAAAAAAACCTCCTTGGTGGATAGTGTAAAAATTTAACCAATGGTAAAAATGAATGTATTCTCACATGGTGTATAGAAGCATCAGATCTCAGAAAGTGCTCAGATAACCAATATACTTCTTTAACTTGCCCCAAAAGATGCAATAGCTACAGGGACTGTTATGGTAGAAACAGCAGGTTCTGGAAGAACCTGAATAAGATAAACCACTGACAAAAAAAGTCAATCTCCTCCTGCATTACATGTAGATGTAGCCTTGCAAGCCTTTTTTAAACAGAAAATCTCCATGTTATGCGTATGAAAATACAGCTGCTGATGAAGTCAGAACTATTCAAGGGCACTAATTTCTTTGCAACTGATGATAGCTGCATTTCTTTCTCCATTACTTTCTCCTAGTAAAAACAAGTTCGCTGATGTTTGGATCAGCCACTGGAGCCAGACACTGTAACTGTAATTTTTACAGCACTGCAATGCTTTGTGACTCAGGAATTGTGAAAACATTCTCAAGTACTTTTAAAATACATACTGCAGCACTAAAGTACTGAAGCACTTCTGATTAGTTGAACAACTGTCTTGCTCTGCATTGTCTGCACCTGTAGAAGGGATGAAATCCTGGCCCTGGGGAGGCTAAAGGAGGCCACACCTCATCCATGAAAATGGGGTCTCAGAACAGAGTATTGGAGGGTAACTAGTAAGAAACTGAGCAGTAATTTATAAACTCATTGACATGGCTATATAGAAGTATTTCTAGTTTGTCAGAATAAATCCTACTATTCATCATCAGCATAGTTATAGCCTACATCAATCATCTGCACTTCAGTCACCTTGTTCATTCACATACTCTGCTGATTCAGCTTTAAACTTTGTATCACTGATAAGTCTTTCACAAAGGTCACAAAAGTGCCTTCAACCTAAGGACAGTGGTTCTGCCTAATGCATCCTCTGGCTAACTTCATTTCAGTCAAATTAACTATACACTACAAAAATTAATATCCTCATCCTTTGGAATGACACTGGAAATAATCATCAAACCTCATCAGACTAGTACGGAAGAAATTAGATTGACGTTTTCTCACTGCTTATTTTCTAAGATCCTTATTTCATATCTTAATTTGTGCTCCAAATTTGGGGCTGAGGTTTATTTGAGGGTCTGGTCTGCTTTGTGGGATTGATAGGGTTACCGAAAATGAATTGCATGACTCAAGATTTGTAGCACTTAACAAATCAGTATCAGTCCCATCATGTTCGATACATCAAATTCTAATCCGGAATGGAAATTACAAAAACCTATGATGAATTGGTTTTGTTTTACATGGACTAGTTTACATATGAACATGTCAAACCTTCTTTCTTCTTCAACTTGCACCCCTAGGTAGTCATACAGGAGATTCCTATGAGCTGAGCTCAGCCCAGCACTAGCCCCAAGAAGGAAAGACACTGTAAAGTTTAGCCCAAAGTTCATCTTATGGACATGTTGATAAGTTCTAACAAACAAAAAAGAAAAAGCAAACAGTAAACATTGTTGGAACAGGTTATGTATTTGCATCCAAGCACTTCAGTAAGTGTGACAAATGTTGCCACCTCATGGACAGGTGCAGGGTTTGGTTCAGCTCAGCGGTAGGAAGGAAAACAGATCACGGAGATGACTCATTGCTGCCCTTTCACACTCTCCTGAGGGAGGAAGCCAGAGCTTGGCCAGAAGGATGTTTTTGTCACTTAGATTCACCTGGAACTCATTCATCTGGGTCTGATTCCAGAAGCATGACCAAAAAAAAGAAAACAAAGAAAAAAAAATAAAAAAGAGAAAATGCGACACACATTCAGGGAATTTTAGCATCTCCAATATCAGAGCAAGGAAGAGGAAAGACCCTCCTTGGAAAAAAAGCTTTTCCTTGGAAAAAGTCATAAATGTTCAATGTCAGACCTAGCACAGCCTTTGTCAAACAGGCAGAGGGGAGCACACAAGAGCAAAACACCAGAGTAACAGGCTGTGGGACCTGGAGTTTTCAAGAGGGTGACAGAAATCCTCAGATTCATGAAGACAATAATCCCCAACTGGACCAGGGAATTTTAATATTCCATAAGTTGGGAATCTTCTACTTGCCACCTGTAATTGTAGTGTATTCCATCACATACTTCAAAGCTAAAGTTTTATGTTATAACATCACATTGATCACTCACTATTCCAACTCTTTTGGGGAGCTGCTACAGAAATACTCTGTCACCTGTTGAATTTCCCCCTCTCTGATGAAAAGGCAGCTGCACCATCCTCCTCTACAGGACAGAGACTGTTACAAAAGCCATTACACAATGTGTATCTTAAAGTACATTCACTCCAACCAGCACTATAATTAGCATTTAATATAACTGGATGAGCATAAAGGGACTATAAAATGTAGAAGCAAAAATAAAACATTCCAAGTTTGATGTCGGGATAGAACTTTAAGAATAAATGGTTTGTTGTTTTTTTTTTAAACAGAGCTTTGTAAAAGTAAGATTCATAGTCAACATTTATGAATGGTCTGAAAAAAAAGACAGTATGGTGATTAACTGGGAGTTTCCTATCATCATGATCTCCATGTAACAGTGTAACAGTCTGCCTACATAGTACTGAAGAGAAGGAAGAATTTGTACCAGCTTGATTTTTGAATATGTTCTTATGTTTATTATACTTTGCTGCTCCACTCTCCTAAAATGGTGGCCTCAGGAAAAGCTGCTTTGGCAGGCAATTGCAAAGATTCCTGTGGAGAGGAAGTGAAAAGACTGGGCATACAAACAACGGCTGCTGCCATGTTCAAAGCACTGGGGAGAGTTCATAGAGCAAAATGCAGTCCTAAGTAAATGGGTTTCAGGCAATTTCAGTGTTAAGATAACATCATTAAGAGTAGAACAGATTGTGCTCAAACCCTGCTGTTTATAATTAACACATTGCTTCCAAATACTCCAGGGTCCCTGGTAAATAGTCCTCTGCTCAGATCCACCCAGACCAATCAGAGTATTTTCATCAGGTTCCATGCTGGGCCAGCACCTGTTTGGACAAATCCAAAAGAGCCAAAATACTCTTCTTTCTGGCCAGCTAAGTAGAGAGATGAACACAGCTTGCCTTAGTCATTGTCACAGTGTCCATATGGCTGTGAAGCTTGTTTTCACAAGAAATCGTACAAGTACTTTATTATGTCGAAGTTCACGGTCCTATAAACAAAAACACAGTATATTAGAGCAATCATCTTAACTGTGCTGAGACTTTAACTTGTTTGGAGACAGCACATGCAGGACGTTCTGCACAATGCAAACCAAGCAATATCCCCCAAAGAAATGCAGGGATTAACAAATATTTAACTTTGACACATAATAATGATATTTAACTATCATTATTTACAGCACCTCTCTGATTATTTCAACTTTGTAAAATTCTAAACCAGGAGTAAAGCAACTTTCTAGTAAAAAAACCAAAAGATTCTTATTTCAATCATTAAGCAGTTGAAATATATCAAAGTAAGATTGTCTTTTCACATGGTAAACCTGATACTCTAGTTGGTGATGCAAAGCAGAAACCTTTTATGCTATTGAATGTTTTGTTCATCTCCCAAACCACCTGTTTTAGCATGGACTATGTAACTCCTTCTTCTGTACTCATTTGTGCTCTGTGTTCTTTCTGTCTTGACAGTAGTTGACCCATGTTCATAGCTAAATTTGAAATATCCAAGAATGCCACTCAATGGGATAGAAGATTTTCATGTACACTTTTGTACTTTAATCGCAGGCAAAATGAAACAGCAGGAGAATAAAACATATAATTATTTTTTTTGTCTCTAAACTCATTCTTCCATACAATCCAACACTCAGACTTTGGGGGTTACTGTTGGAATAAATAATTACTGAATATAATGACAAGTATAAAATTAAAAGTTTTTTTTTAAAGTATTCAATGGTGTAAAAATAACTGCTAACAATGCTAAGTGAGATTAACTAGCTGAATGCCTTATTTGTTAGACTACAATCATTCAATATTCTCTGTTCATGCATCAGCCTCTAACCCACTTTTTAAAAAGTTTCTATAAAACATTATATTGGACAGAAAAAAGTTTAGAAATGCCCAAGATACATAACAAGAAATACTGTGTTGGAGTCTATCTTCCAGTGACAAATTGAAAGAAATTAACTGCCACTGTTAGACCCGAGTGACATTGCGTCACTCAAAAACTTGCTTTGGGTACAAGGCTTTCCACAAGAACAAAACCATACACACTAACAAATGCTGACCTTATCAACTAAACGAAACACACTTGTCCTGTCATAACAACTGGCTTCATTAGAGACTCTCTGAAAAGATCCATTACGATCAACAAACATTAAAGCCCTACTTCAGCCAGGCTGGATGAAGCCTTGAGCAACCTCATCCAGTGGGAAGGTGTCCCTGCCCATGGTAGGGGGTTGGGACTAGATCTGTAAGGTCCATTCCAGCCCCTAAAATTCTACGATTCTCCTTCAGCTAGAGAAAATTTGTGACCTTAGGTTTGAAATTCTTAAAACAAAAATTAAAGATTTCTAACAAAGAAATGTCTAACTTTACCTTCAGCTAAATGCTGAACTCCTACATGGTAAAAAGCATGGAAATATCTCCTCAAAGACAGAGTATATGTAACAGAATAGAGCTAGACAAGAGGTTCTGTAGCACTAAAGAGAGAGACTGTGCACTGCCAGTGGTTATCACATTAAAAGCCACCAGCCAGAGACATAAGTGTTTTACTCTTTTCCAAACACAGGTGGTTTTTTTTTTTAAAAGAAATGAAAACTTCACTTTTGCTTAAAAATACAGATAATGAAATGACAACCTGA